GTCAGTGTGGTACCGGGTTAATTGTATTCACGTTATGTCATATAGCGATTTTGTATTCTATTACATGTTGTTAAAGTTCAAATTTCGATGTAGGTTTGATTAGCATCTTGAATTGGTGTTGTAAAAGGCGCTAAAGTATTTTATACCATATCGTAATAGAAATAGAATACTTTTTTCCAAAGCAAAAATGCAAAATCGATGTAAATATTTTATTTCTGTTTATACTAATTGAATAAAATCTATTGTTATTTAATTAATAATATCTATTGACTTATGCAATTGTTATGATATTCGGTTAGTTCTTTATGGATTGTAATCGATTTTTTTGTTTTTGTTTTGACTCGATATTTCACTTTCACCGTCTCGATTCTCTATTGTTTTATTTTAAAAACACGAGTGAAATTTACGGTAAAATTGAGAGAAGACAAAGCGAGTTTTCTTATATTATTTAAAAAAAAAAACAATTTAAAAAGTTTAAGAACACTTTGTTTTATTGAATCTATGTGTACGTGCAATTATATCTTTATTTATCTTACTAATATTATAAATGTAAATATTTGGATGAATCCATCCATCCCTCCTTGATGTTTATTTGAATGTATCTCCAGAACGGCTTTTTTTATATCATAAGGTGGCAAGCGAGCGAGCGGCCACCTGAAAACGCTGAAACAGCGAAGTGACCGTTGCCCATAGACATACGCAATTGCATATGCGTTGCCTACCTTTAATCGACGGAGGAGAGGATGCTCAGAAAGAAATATGTATTCTCTTTCCATGCATCCTCTCATCCGGAAAGTCCACTTCCACTTCCCATCCTTTCCTTATAAGAAAAAAGGTGGGAAGAGAAAGAGGACTAAATTAGGCTTCCGGAATGCACACTCATCAGACTAAAGGTGGAATTGCTTCCACTTGATGCCTGTCTTCTGTGTGGTCGTGGTATTTCACCGGGCGAGCCGGGACAATTCGTGCGAAGATGTTAAAGCGGGCTCTACTACTGTTAAAACGCTTATTACGGCTTAACGGATATTGAAGAAATTTGATATAGATGTAGAGCATAGTCTGTAATAACATATAGGATACTCATTAAGTTTGTTTTTAAATCAGCGTATACGGTGTCGCAGGCTACAGCTAGTATCTTTACCTATACTAATATTATAAAGCGAAAGTTTGTTTAAACGCTCTTATCTCAGGAACTACTGGTCCGATTTGAAAATGTTTTTTTTTGCTGGATAGTCCATTTATAGAGGAAGGCTTTAGGCTATATAACCAATGTTTTTTTTAATACTGCGCGGACGGAATCGCGAGCGTAAAAGATAAAGAATCACCACTAAGTCATATTAACATTTTTACATCGCGTGTTAAAGAAATAACAGCGAGGTAACCGGTTTTACTCTGCATTCGAATTATGATTCAATATTAGGTAACATTTGTAAACTTGACATTAAGACTTATGTGTAATTTAGATGAGGTTTTGTATTAAAAGGTGTCACTTTAACGTTTAATTTATACAGTGTTAATAAATGCCAATTTTTATATGGATGGATGGATCTTAGAAGGTATTTCTAGAATGGCTGCGTCGATCTCGCTGAAATTTGGCATAGATGTAGACCATAGTCTGGAAGAACATATAGCGTACTAATTAAGTTTTTCTTAATTGCAAGCGGATGAAATCGCGGGCGACAGCTTGTTTGCTAATAAAATTTTTATATCGTATTTAAAGTGTCATTTTCTCGTTTCAGATTTCCCTTTAACAACGTGAGATTAAAAGGAAAAGTCTACAATGAAAAACACAGTGCGCGCGCATCGAAAGTTCTATTGTCTAAATTAGAAAAGAGGCGCATATAAAACCTCTTTAGAATGAACATGTGACGTAACGCCATCTAGCGACGAACGGACGTACTAAGTGAAAGTGTTTGTGACTTGAATCAAAATGAAGTTGAACCTGTTCAAACGTTCCATGATATTTGCGACCTTCTTCGGATCGTGTTTATGTATTGCCCTGATTGTAGGCTCCTTAGGGACGACGCACTGGGTCGATGCAAAGGCGAAAAGAGCCCCCAATCCATTGGAGTCTGAAGGACAGATAAGCTTCGGTCTGTTTGAAGGGCACAAGGCCCTGAATGCTGGAGTAGGACGAAGATATTATGATTTTAGCGGTAAGTAAAGTTATTTTTAAGTATACATACACAAAATAGATTTAAATATAATTGGACTGTATGTATGTAATATCGAATAACAAAATCATATAGATTTTTAATTTGCGTTGCTGATAACATATGACCATTTATTAAAATTTTTGTCTATCTGTAAGTAGTACTCATTTGTTCCGGGTAATCTCCGAAACGGCTTATGCATACGGCTATGTTATAGTCTACTTTTTCTGGCCCTGACGAAGTCACGGGAAGCTGCTAGTACGTGGTTCATTGTTAGTGATTTGTGTTGCAGTGCGGGCAGGCACGCACCCAGCACGGCGCTGGGCGTGGTGCGGCACGGCGGCGCAGCTAGGCGTGGCGCTGGCGGCGGCGGGCGGGGCCTGCGTCCTCGCCGCCCTCGCCTCCGCCTCACGCGCGCGCTGCTCTCCCAAACCACTGCTACTCTGTAACTCTGCAACAGGTAACTTTAATTGATTATTACATAAGCAAGAAAATCTTTTTATTACTACCCGATTGATAAAGAGGGTTAAGAAACATACCCATACTATGTGACCTATTGTTTTAGTTTTTTCGACCCCTCCCACCCCTCGGTGACCCCTCGTAGTACATGCCAAGACCACCCCCCCTTTAGTTTTCACAGGCAAAAATTGAAAAAAAATATCATTTGGCTCATACTCTTCTTAAAGCATAAGACTGCATGCATACTTAAATTACTAGTGAATTGTGTATTATGAAAAAAAAAAAAAGTAAGGACTACGTGACTAAAATCTGAGCCCCAACCCCCGCCGTCTGTGACTGACCGTAGTATTTTACGTAGTAGTTTACCTAAACGGGTCACGTAGTATGGGTACGTTCCCTTATTGTGTTTTGCGTATGTAATTTTTTTCATGTTTGTACATATGTAAATTCCATTGTGACGGATTATAGACTAAACAACTGAATTGATTTCGACAATTGAGATGTCATTCGACTCGTTTTTTTCCCTGGAGCGTTATATGACATGTTACAACTTCAGTTTATCCTTTACCATGTCCAATAGAGGCAAAATAAATGCCACTCTCACCGTTCGTGCCTTTGATTCTGAGGCTAAAATCCCTGTTTAAGGCATATTGTTATCTCTGATTTTTAAATGGGAAGACGATATCGTCGTATCGTTTTATACAAATATTTTAGTCTCAGAAACCAACGGTAAGGGTTTTAATTATTTATGATATTGTGAATATTTTTTATCCCACTATATAATTCATCTGTTTCCAGTGTTATTCTGCCTGGGTTCAATGTCAGTGTGGCTGACGGAGTTCTTTCTCCGTTTGCAGCACAATGTGATGTCAGAGGAGGACCTCGCTAACACCTGGTCTTCTGACGGTATGGCAGATCTCGGCATCTCATTTTGGTAAGTCTTTGTTTCTCATGGATTTATTTAATAGTGAAAGATGGTAAATGTGCAAGCGGTTACTTAAGGGCCTAGCTCGAATATTTGTGACACGCACTTTCGTAACGTCGTCGAGTTTATTATCGTACGCACGGTAGTGGCGCAGGTTTTTTTTCGATGAAGTTACGAAAACGTTTTCATGAATACTCATGCTAGACCCTCATGCATCTGCCCCCTTTCGCAATTTTAATAGACAGAAGAGGGAACGCTTAAAATCGAACCCTTCTACCTTTTCAAGTACAGAAGCTTTTTTATTGAAATCATTTCGAATATATTGTTATTATTACGTAATTTGTTCCAAGTTAAATAATTTTGCCATAACATTGTTTTCCGAGACCACAATATCTATGAAACATATCGACATCCCTCTCATAGACATAACAGAGATGAAGTGTCAATAGCCTAATGGCTAAAGGTACGGACTTGGTCGTAGGGGACGGTGGTCGAGATTTCGAATCCCGCCATTCGACTATTGTCGTAAACCATATCACAAACCTAGAGCATAGTTGCAATGGTACAAGAAATATTAGTTAATTAAAAAAACATGTTTTAAACGTAGATTTTAGTCTCAGAAACTCACAGTTAATTATATGTATATAATTGTAGGCTAGTGGTAGCTGCCGCTATCTCCGCGTTTGTCAACAATGTATGCATCCTGATTGCGATGGCGGACAACAGAGATGCTGACACTATCGCACCAGCGTTGGAAGAGAAAGTTAATGGAGCTATCATGTTGTATTAACTGTGTTGGATTCCAATGTTACACGTGTACAATAACATGATACTATATGATATATAATTTGGAACGTCAAATATGTTTTTAATCGTCTGATAAGGGTATTGTTTGGATATATGTCTAAACTGAAGTTAAAGTGATCTATATTACAAAATAAATGTATGTTATACCAGCTGTCGCCCGCGACTCCGTCTGCGCGGAATTAAAATCGAATTTAATTAGTTTATGTGCTCTTCCAGACTATGTTCTATATGCATATAAAGTTTCATGGAGATCCATGCAGCCGTTCTGGAGATACCTTCTAACAAACATCCATACATCTAAACATTCGCATTTATAATATTAGTAAGATTTTTATGTTCAAAGACACTCATAGATGTATTTAGACAAAAATATTATAAAGACCACTTTAGTTCCAGGTTAGTTATACGTGATTTTGTATGTATATTTCATTTTACCATCTCTAAACGACTAAAATTTTCATGCTTAGTGACAAAAGGGTTCACACATTTGGTTTTTTACCATATTTTTTTTAAATATTAATAAGGTATCATGTTATCGTACACGGGTAGTAAATTCTATGTATAGATCTGTTATTCAGACTGAGTTGTTTAAGGATTATTAACAATGTAACAGACTAGTGTCCAACGGTTATGACAAATTTTTTATATTGGTCTGTTATGTTGTGATAGGTCGATAGGATAGGTAGGCAAATAAAAATGTGGGCAGTCAAAAAAGCACATGAATAATACTGGTGATCGTTGAGTTTTCACTGTCAACATTATCTGAGAGGTTAGACAAAATGCATTCGAAGCGATTCCATAGCGAACTTTAACCCTTAATTCGACGAAATTTTTTTCAACAAAAAAAAACTCTTTTTTTTTAGTAAAGTCATACTTACGTAATTTTCTCTAAATTAGTTTAGTAGTTTTTTTTATTTGGTTGTTCGTCATACTGGACACTATCGAATTAAGGGTTAAAAATGCATATATGACAACTTTCGATATGTCACGTGATTGTCGCGAGTTCCGTACATTTGTAAAGTTCTCTATGAAATCGCTTCAAAGCGAATGTACTTTGTCTAACATCGCTGTATAGAAACATGTTGTGCTGTTTATAAAAACAATGATACTTGTATTTTATGTAAGTGGTCGAAATTTAAAGTTAAATTGTAATTTTTGTAAGAAATTCTTGTAAAGATTTTTTAACATATTTTTTAAGCCAGTGATTTTTTTTTTTACATTTCTTTTGTAATTTATATGGTTATTTTTTTTATAGAATTCAACTGCAGTGACAATTATATATATTTTTTGTCTATACGAGCAAGTGGCAACTCAAATTCGCCAAAAAAGCGAACGCTGCCAATAGACATATGCATTTGGAGATTCGTTGTCTATTTTAATCGACCTATGGAACGCACAGTAGGATAATAAGTTCCCTACCTATGTTTCTACTTCCCCTCCCCATCTCTTCTTTACAAGAAAAGAATGGGAAGGTGAAGAGGATCAAAATTAAGCCTCAGCACCAAACTTATCAGACTGCAGTTAGGGTTACTTCACCCTTGAGGCGTGTCTTCTATGTGGTCGTGGTTAAAAGTATTTATGTCTCTATTTTGTCAAAGAGAATGAAAGGGATAACAATATTTAATAGTTCACTGTAGAGTTCTACGGTAAAAATGTTAGAATTAAATATTTGTAAATAACAAAATATCTGTATGTAAAATAAAAGGCTCTTTGTATTGGCTTTTATTAATTATATTTAAGAGAAAATTAAAACTGAATCTTATCTATTAACTAATAGGAATCTAATTTCAAGTTTATTTAAGGTTAAATATAACAAATACTTGAATTAGCCTATGTGCTAATCCAGGCTTTACTCTATACTTATTCCAAATACCATTTTGATCCCTTTAGCTGTGGAGTTACGTGAATTATATCCATCCATCCAAACTTTCTCATTTATTATATAAGTAAGATTACATAAGAATTATTTTAAATAATCCGTCCATTTACAATTGAAACATAATTTATTATTATACAATTTTTATGTAATTCTGATTTTTTTTTATTAATTTTTATTCATCATCATTATGATAATCAGCCTAAATTTGTCCACTGCTGGACGTACGCCTCCCTCATCGATTGCCACAATGCCAGGTCCTGTGCCGCCCGCATCCAGTACACTCCCGCAACCTTGACCAAGTCATCGGTCCATCATGCGGGAGGCCTACTTACGCTGCGTCGACCCGTCCGCGTACGACACTCTAGGACTTTCCGGCCCCATCGGCCGTTCGTTCTGCGGGCAATGTGGCAATTTTTATTATTAAATTGAAATTAAATAGTCTGCTCGGAATTTAATAAATAATTTCAATATTTTATTCAAAATTTTATTGCTAATCTCGTAAATTTAAGTTATTTTTGCTCAAATAACGTTTTGTCATTTTTTTTTATAAATGAATGTTTTTATTTTAGTTAGTTGTGCCATTAGATTAAGTTTTCATATTGTAACAGTATTCTTATTTAATATTTCTTTGGTAATTTTCTAAAATTAAATATTTTTGTATATTCCATTGTGTTTTATTTTTTATTCTTATTACGATTTCTATGACAATTTATTGAAAAAAAAATTGTCTTTTTTTCATAAAAAAAATAATTTTGTTTTTAAATATGATTCGGTAGTGTCAACTCATGTGTTCAGCGAAAATATGAATTAGTTGAGAGACCAAGTCTCCATTATCGAATCTGTATTGCAATATATCCATCCCTTTCTCTCTCCATGAAAGAAACAAGGATAGCAATAGTATAATAGTTTTAGTATACAAGATTTGAAATCCACAGTTTTAAATAGTCCGTCAAATCGAAGTATAATTTAAAAAAAACCCAAAAACAGTGGTAACTAAAAGTACCCGACGAGGATGGGATTCGAACCCACGCGTGCAGAGCACATTGGATTAGCAGTCCAACGCCTTAACCTCTCGGCCACCTCGTCTTATTGCTAACGCATAAAAGTTTTGTCTTACAGTAGGTTCCCACTGTTGAAATACTTGTACAAAAGTAACTCAACTCTCTTACTGTCAACATAAATATTCGATTTTTAACATATTTTTAATTATCCGTGTTGTTTTCAATTATAGATGTCCGATCACCTTGATGTTTTTGTTTGCGTTTGCCCTCTTAAAAAAAACCATCTACACACCTAATAGCCATTGAAAAACCATGATTTATTTTTGGACTGCGATGGAATTATTTCTGTATACAGGTCATATGTTCTTACGTTGAAGGAAAACATCGTGATGCAACCTGCACATATCAATGAAGTTGGCCCAGTGGCAAGCGTGATTGTGCCAAGTCACCTGCCTAGTCACTCCTGACTTAGGTTAGGTTAGTAGTTGAATTGACATTGCATTTGTACAAGAGTTTCGGCTTTTGGCAGTGGAAATGACATACTCTACCTTCCATGCACTACAACTGTTTCCACTGTGCTTATTTGCGTTCTTTCGCTCCTGCATCGTGGAAACACACCTTTAGTTGACTGTTATAAACTCATTAGACCGCTTCAATAGATTCAATGAATTAGCTGCTCCAGTGAACTGCAAAGGTCCGTCGCTGCAAATTTAAATATTGTTTTTAAGATTATTGGCTCGCGCCGGACGCATCGCACGCATACCCCGCAACGGATTTTTGTTTGCTTTTTATGAATTTACATAACGCTGCGTCCATTATCCGCGCCGAACGCATCAAATGACGGCATTTATCAAGAGACCATCCGTTGCGGGCCGTGTGTGCGGTGCGTCCGGCGCGGGCCATAACTGTCGATAGTTGATAGAAAAACTGTATATCATTCTCTCTTATACAGGTGGACGGCGCACACCGGGCAATATTTCGGCGTTTATAGACATTTTCGTCTGTTATTTTTTAGTGTCTTTTTTTTCTTGAATATTTCTTGTATGACTTAATATCTTACGTAAAATTTAATGCATAATATGCGTGAAGCTCTTTTAGAATTATTTGTCTGAAAATTTGTATGGGGACGAAATTAAAATCGAAGATAACTCAAGTATCTCCCAATTGCCCAATGTTGAAGCTTCTACCACTTATAAAGAAAATTTTGGCACGGCACATAACACAGGCATTGGTGTGAATATCTTAACTTTTTAAATCTAAACTGATTCTATGTCAATTGAATTATTCCCAACACGTAGACTAGATGTTAAGAAATCTCTAAATTCAGAAGTTACCCTGAAGCGATTCCCGTTTCAAAAGGTCTCTACCCTGGGGACTAATGCGCGACAAATCGATTGAAAGGTAAACTGAATTCGAGTTCGGTAAATTGAGTGAAATCTTCTAATAACTCGAATGAATACGAAGTAAACAGAATGGAAGGCAGGAAGTCAAGTATTATAAAACTAGTGGTTACCCGCGATTCCGTCCATGCAGAATTAAAAAAATAATTAGTAGTAAAATTTCAGTGAGATCCATGCAGCCGTACTGGAGATATCTTTTAACAAACATCCATGATCCATCCATCCTAAAATACGCGTTTATAATATTAGTATGATTATTGGTCAAACTATTCAGTAAATATTCTGGTTAAAATATTTGAGATAAATGTGTAAGGCAATAAGTAGACAGATGTCTTGACAGATGTTGAATAACGGCGGGACGCGGTTGGAAATTTATTGCCGCCATTACATACCCATGTGCCGCCATTTTGAATCAACTGTTTTGTCGAAAAGTTAACTAAAAAACATAGAGAAATGATGCTATAAAATTTAATACAATCAAATAAGCTAAAATCTCGCTACTGAGCTTTGACAGATGAAATACTACGACAACATAAAGTGACACTAAATCTGCGTACAGTATAATGAGTTTCCGTGTTTGAGGTTAATTTTAGTCCACTTTCCCTTCCCACCCTTTTCTTATAACAAAAGGATAGCCAGGGTATGTGGATGAGTAGAGGACGCGGACGGACACGTTTGTCTCCTACCGTGTTAATTAAATATAGGCAAGGCAACTGCAAATGCAGATGTTCATGGGCAACTGGCAATTTGCTCGTTTACCAACATTTACTGCAAAAAAGTATCGACATGAGTACCATGTTGTGTAAACTCACATTTAATTTGGTCAATCTCTTCTCTTGTTGACATAATGGCGGACGGCGGCGCGTAATGGCCGTC